GTTGTATCACGTGTAGCCTGGTCCCGGACGCTCCGGACGGCTTTACCATATTAACAGGACAAGCAGCGCAAGTAAAGTTAGGAGATGGTGGGTCGGTATCCGGACCAGGGTACGCTAATCTGTGACCTCCACTGTAGATGCTGCTCCAAAAAGTTGGATATGCTCATTGTATGTTTCATGAATGAAGCAAGAAACGCATCAATCTCAAGCTTTGTTGCGCAACAAAAATTAAATCCCCACTGCAGAATGATCAGTTAAGGTGTGTAAAGTCTTGTAAAGTCATTTAAAAATACAGACTTCTACGCATAGATTTTTATTGACAGCTAACATGCCCATTTTTTTAGTTATTTTTTTACTCTGTTAATGTATCATTTTATTCAACAAATGCTTTCGTTGCCTTTATAACCGAGGGTTGTCAGCCAGGCAGATGTGATATCCTCATCAGCTCATCAGGAAAATAAAAAAAAAACTGCTTCAGTTCTTTATTCAAAATAAAAGTCCTACTTGGGTAAAGAGAATCCGTTTTATTAACCAACATTTACTCTGAGAGTCACATTTCACTTTGACAGGAAAGTTTGCATCGCTTCAATTTTCCTTTTTTATATATTTCAAATGTTTGCTCAATTTCTTTAGATAATTCACCCTCTCTCCTGTGTGGTCATGTGTATTTTAGATAGCATTACTGTTAGGGAGGATGGTAAGAAAAGGTGTCTAAAACTCTATGTGACCCTGAGCAGTGACCAGAAAAATAAAAAACATGTATTCACTTTAGGTCCTGTCCACTGAGATCGCCTGATCATTTGATGGGAATACAGTAAATAGAGATTTGCTTGGATCTTAAAGGCATGTTGATCAACCACATCATTTTGTAGATGAGATCTTTGAGTGGTTGGGGGTGTGTCTGTGCTTAGCTTCTGAGGTTTTTTCATTAAGCTGAGAAAAGATATGACCCTGGGGCTTTTTTCATTTCAACCTGAGGTATTTACTTTAAAGCTAACCAAAGAAAGAGCAGCAGCAGGAAGACAATGGTAAGAGTTCACTATAGCTTAACTCTAAGCCTGGTATACATAAGATCGCCTGCATCACGTATTCACCCAGAGAACAGCTTGGTGAGCCAACAGGGTGTGTGTGAAGGTATGCCATGGTGACACAGGGTTTACATTCTTATAGAATTGCTGCTTTGAATCTACTTATATTTGCTCAAAAACATGCAACACATTACAGCATGTTTTCAATTTTAAATGTGAATGTGGTTTGCTGGTTATCTTGCTTGGGATCTATAATGTATTTAGCTGTATGTTATGTTTGATTAAGATCCTTCATTGTCATTATGGACCCACTGGGTTCAGAATGTAAATGCATAGAACAGTGACGAAAT